TGGTCAGTTCAACTGTATATGTCAGAAACAAAACTTCTGTATTTGGAGTACAGCATACGTCAATCAGTTTTTCTTTAGTTCAATACCATTATGGATTTCAAGACAAAACAAGCGAAAAAAATAGCGGTTCCTCGCTTTAGAAGCACGTTGGTTGTTTATTAGTTTACTTGAAATTCCGTGTGAGGGCGCTACGAGTTACGATTTAAACAATAAAAAACTTGCTTTGCTTTTAATTTTACGCAAAAAATACACGAGGGCCGTCTGCGATAATGTTGCCTAATTTAGTAATAGACTAGAGGGAAGGCAGCTAGTCGACGCCACCCACCACCCACTCTTGGGCTACTCTTTTTACCAACCAATATTGGGATTGGCCGTCACATTATAGCGCTCCCACGGCTGAAGTAAAAATCAATTTCATTGAATTGTTTTACAAACGTTTTTATTTCAGTAAAATAATTTCTTTTTAGCAATCTGACCAACTGACGTAATTTCACCTACCATATTGTACATCGATAATTGGTTATGTGAACATCGTTCACTGCGCCGGGGCCGAGCCTCGGATTTGAGCGCTGTCATTTCGTAAGCTTATTCCTGACACACACACACGCCGGGGAGGGAGATGGATTTTGATGGAATTATGATGATTGTTTAAGGTGATTTTTTTTTTTTACTTCCCAATAAACAGAGATACATAAACGAAGACTCATTAATTCGTGTTTTGCTAAGTGGCGCAAGGCGTTACCATGGTTACAGTTATACAGCTGCAGAGGAATAAAGCAGTTGACAGACGTTAGGGTTAATTCAAAACTCGATGTTCCGCAAATTAGAATAAAAATACAAATCTTTAAAATCCCCCTACTACTACGTTACGTAGTTGTATGTTATTCTACTTATAAATCTGTCAAATGAGGAATAATATTTTTATACAAGGTATAATAAATGAATATTCGGAAGACTCGGAACGAGGCTATACGGTATTGATTGTTGGGCCAGAGGGCGTTATGAATACATTTATTATATATGCATCACTTACAGATATTTAAATTTATTTGCTATATACACCTGACCCCCCCGGGGGGACAGCGGTAAGTCTAAGGACTTACAATGCTAAAATCTGGGGTTCGATTCCCCGCGGTGGACACAGCAGAGAGCCCAATGTGGCTTTGCTCTAAAACAAACAAATACATTATATAACTGATGAATAGATACATCATGCCCCCCCCCCAAGACTCATTAGCTCAGTCCTGAATTTTGATGCCCGTTACTCTAGTTAAAATATTTCATTTTATAATATCAGTCCTCTCCACGAGGTGTCTGTCTATATCCAAAACGTGGAGTAAGTTGTTATTAAAACGATTTTGAATATGCATATCAGCAAGTCACGTGACAATCACATCCGATATAAAGTTGCGATGTAACGGCATGTATCAGAACTACATTTTGACATTCTTTCGTAAGTAGTGTGACGACATCGAAACTTTATCGCTTTTGGAAAGAGTGTGTAACAGCTCTTTCCGACGCAAAATATTCGTAAGCTCAGATCATTAAGACTTGTTAAGATCGGAGATTTAGAACTTCAAACACAAAGACATATTCTTCAGTTAATGGCATTTGAAAACAAAAGAATGCGAATCAACTTGGAATACCAGAACCATCCAGAAAGAGATATGCAACAAGTTGTAGCCCAGCCGTACACCTGGTAAGCAAAATTCGACATTTTGTAACAGGTGAGAATCCACGAACACAAAAGTTGTAGACAAAAGCCATCCATGTACGCCAGGCAACAATATGGAATATAATCAAGAACGGTCACCGTCTGGAAGCGAGGTCAGCAGGATATGGATTCATCAAGATAAGGCTTAGAGTCATACCTCCCGCTCACCTATCACAAACCTTAAGTAAATGGTGAATGAAACGGGTATTTATGCTGTTCCATACCGAACGCAGCGCCTTTGGACTTCTGTGTGATCGGACTGTTGAAACGGGCGCTGGAAAACCGTTGACCTCGTACACTAGACGGATAACGGAAAGCCTGCAAGGAGAAGTGGTGTGCTTTGGACATGACAATCTTACGACGGAACTTTCTGTAGTAGAAATCACGATACAAAGCTATTATCAAGATTCACGATTGTCAGAGAGAGCATGATCGGAAATGGCGACATGGACTGTAACGACGTGGTGAGGCTCCAAAATTATTCTCAACCTCTGTATATACCAGTCTTAACAGTGACTGGTGACTCAGTGGCTGTTAAAACAAACAAACAAACAACAGACTTCACCCAGTTCCCAAAATACACCATAAACAATTGGATAGTTTCGAGATCGGAGAGTAATTTTTGCCAATTCGATAAATTCTTTCAATGAGAGAGGGTTTTTGAAAGTCGTTCAGTTTTTCCGAATGAATATTAAGTCTGACTGAATAGTCTCAAGCTCTTTATTTTTTTCTTTCGCAATTAAACAGAAGATAAAGATGTTTATAAAATAAAATAGAATAATAAAATAAAATGATACGAAATTACATTTATAATGTAACTGATTAATATGTTCACAACAACTAAAAAAAAATTAAGCGATGTCTTGAATTTTTGTAAATATTCTAACTTGTATGTCTGTTTGTTTTTGAATTTCGCGCAAAGCTACACGAGGGCTATCTGCGCTAGCCGTCTCTAATTTAGCAGTGTAAGATTAGAGGGAAGGCAGCTAGTCATCACCACCCACCGCCAACTCTTGGGCTACTCTTTTTACCAACGAATAGTGGGATTGACCGTCACATTATAACGCCCCCACGGCTGAAAGGGCGAGCATGTTTGGTGGGACGGGAATTCGAACCTGCGACCCTCAGATTGCGAGTCGAGTGCCCTAACCACCTGGCCATGCCGGGTCTAACTTGTATGTTTAAGAATATTTAAACATTAAATTTGTCTATGTTTAATATAATTGTGGTAGAATGTTAAGCTATTTAGAAACATATTATTTAATTTGTTTTTTAACCATTTGTTCGTAGTTAAGCGCAAAGCTATACAATGGGCTATCTGTGCTCTGACCACCACGGGTATCGAAACCCGGTTTCTGGCGTTATAAGTCCGCAGACATACTGCTGTGTCACTGGGGGCGTTTTATTCCCCCCCCCCTTAACCAAAGAGTACAAATAATTAAAAATTCTTACCGTGGTTGCGAAGTATTATCTTTATATGAATTAAGTCAATTAACAAATCTGTCTGATGATCTACCTATATTAGATTTTTATCCGATTTAAAAATGGCGCATGGTTTTTCGTCTTTACGTAACGAGAGGACGGTTTGATTGTTTAATACAGGGAGATACAGAGACCTGACACGAGTAAGGATGGGATAAAAAGGTTGTGAAAAAATGGCGTATGGTTTTTCATCTTTACGTAACGAGAGGACGGTTTGATTGTTTAATATAGGGAGATACAGAGACCTGACAAGAGTAAGGATGGGATAAAAAGGTTGTGAAATAAATTGTTTGGTTAATTACACCAAACTATTTACACTAGCCGTCCCTAATTTAGCAGTGATAGACAAAAGAGAAGTCAACTAATCAACACCTCCCACCGCCAACTCTTGGGTTACTCTTTTACCAATGAATAGTTGGATTGACCATAACATTATAAATGCCCCCACGGCTGAAAGATAAGTGTGAACGACCACATCAGAACTTATCAAATGGTTAATGTTATGTTTTTGGTTGTGTATATGTACCTGAAAATTATAAATAGTAGATGGATATGGGGTATAATCGCAGAATTTTACCATATAATTAGTATACCATTATAACACATAACATATTTAGACATCGTACAAATATATATATATATGGGGTATAATCTCAGAATTTTACCATATAATTAGT